CGCCCCGCCCCGCGCGGGAATCTGGCCGCACCGCCGGCCCCGGGGCCGCGCCTGGCCGCCCCTGGCCCTGCTTTGTCCCGCCCCCGCGGCACAGCCTGGGAATAAAAGCACTGGGAGGCGTCGTGGGCGAGATCCCCACCCTTTCTTACCTCGTATAAACCGACAGCCCTGGGTGTAACCTCTGCTCCTGTTCCGCGCCCAACCTCCAAGCCGTGGAAATAATAGAAGACTGAGAATTTTGAAAGCAGCTAGTAAATTGCAATTTCCTGGCTGTTGCTACATTTCTCGTAATTACGCCCAGGTGAAAACGAAGAGAAGGAAAAGGAACGATCCGCCAGCGGACGGTCTCCGGCGTGGTGAGAGGCGCGCTGAGAGCTGCGAAGGGCCGGGGAGCGCTTTTGTGCACCGCTGGTTTCTCCGCAGCCTCAGGTGTGCGCGGAGAGGTGGCGCCGCCTCGTTGCAGCCCGTCTGCCCCTTGGGGGAGGCAGAGCCTTTGCCTGAACCCGCCAACCCGGGGACCTGAACGGGGAGCCGCGTGCTGTCCTTTGGAAAAAAAACACCCAGGGTGGGTGTTTTGCTTTTAAAAAAAAAAAAACTGCAGACTAGGTTAGAATCATTTTCCAAAAACTTGCGAGACTTGATCATCTTGTTTTAATTGGTGGAGAAGTGGGCTCAGAGAGGTTAATGCGACGTAGGGACGTCAGTCGACCCGTGAGCAAAGAAGCCGGAATTCGACCCGGGTCTGTGGACTAAGTTCAGGCCCTTTCCAACCTCAGTATTTGCTTACCAGGAAGTTTTCAGGCTCTCAGGCGCGCCCCCTACGCGATCTCTTGTTCACTCCACGCAAAATCCTTGCTGAATGGTTGCCCAATCGGAATTAGTTTGGCCTTGCCCCGCCCTCGATTCCCAGGGGAATCCTGGGGGCCTCCGCTCACATTATCCAATGTGACTGCCAGGTTTATAATTAATCAGGCAAGGTCTCACAAAATGAATTTCTCATCAATTTCTAGCTCAAGAGAATATCAGCAGCATGTGAGAGGCAGTATTATTACATTAACGTCCTGGAATATTACTTATTGAGTAAGAGATTAACATTTATTAAATATTCTTTATCTTTCCAATAGGGTAGCAGCAGTTACCTGATGCAAAAAATCAGCATTACTTAAAGAATAAAGAATATGCTTAGAACATAAGACTGTACTGTGAATCGAAGACTTGCATTTCTGGAAAATGCCATTATTCACTCTCTCTAGAAAAAGATAACTGATTGGATGATTAATAAAGTTCATTTAATGACCCTTCTGGTGGAAAGCACAGAAGAAAGATTTAATGGACAACTCCCGATAAAGCACCTCTGAAATTTCATCTTTAATAATTGCCCCCAAGATTCCCAACAAGACACATTTTCGTTGAGAAAGTGCTCATGTTTCACTGTCTACTAAGTCAAGAATCCTGCTGATGCCTCAATAACCTTTTGAGGTTATTCTCACAATAACCTTTTGAACAGGAATTTATTCTTATTTGACAAAAGAGAAAACTGTGGTTCAGAGAAAAATTTTAAAAGTCTGCCCAGTTGGGCACAGTGGCTCATGCCTGTAATCCCAGCACTTTGGAAGGCCGAGGCAAGAGGATTGCCTGAAGCCAGGGGTTTGAGACCAGCCTGGACAACTTGGTGAGACCTCATCTCTACAGTAAATCAAAAGATTAACCAGGAGTGGTGGTGCACGCCTGTGGTTCCAACTACTTGAAAGGCTGAGGCGGAAGGATGGCCTCAGCCCAGCAGGTCGAGGCTGCAGTGGCCGTGAGCATGCCACTGCCTTCCAGCCTGGGCAACAGAGTGAGACTCCAACTCAAAAAAAAAAAAAAAAAAAAGTCTGCCCAAGATCTGGATTTAAACCCAAGTCTTGTCCCACTAGCTTGACCAATAAAATGACAAGAAGGAAATTCACTTTGCCTTGTTTTTAGAGGATAATAGCAATGCTATCTGTGGGCAGATCATGAGAAAGGTCTGTGGGTTTTACAGAGCTGCAAAACAGATTATTACAGGAAACCAACAACTGAGAATTTATTCATAATTTTAGAACATTTAATTACAGTCTGGGCAAATTATTCATGAACATATTTTAATTCTAATACACAGTTAAGAGTGTAAAATGCAATCTATAAAGGAAAGGGAAACAGAGATAAAATATTTTAATTAAAGAACAAAACAGGAGATGTGAGAAATCAAGCCTTAGTGTTGGAGTTATCAAAATGCAGTCTTCAACAGGATTGTCTGAACCTTGTCACTCAGGAGGCATAGGGGTACTTCCAACGCAAAATGGCTCCATCAGCACTTACACTAACAATATATTGATTTCCTGGACTGATCCGGACACGTGTGATGTTGCCACTGTGTCCCACCCCAACATGAGTCACTTCGCCCTCGTTATAATCCCAAACTTTGACTAGATGGTCATTTCCACCTGAAAAAGACAAACACTTAAATGGCATCGCTACAACAGAATGGAAAGATACAGCCCTGATTTTAAATAATTGTATCATGTTCAACATATTCCCCATGTGCCAACTTAAAAGATGAAAAATCTATCTTTATAATAATGCTTTTACTTGATTATAAAAGTCTCTGTTGGTTGAAGTAAATTTGAGGGGGGGCAATACAAAGAGGTGAAATCACCCTTCATGCCACTACCCAGAAATAACCACAAACAACATCTGATTTCGTTCTTTCCAGTTTTTTTCTCTATAAATATACATCTACATAGACATCTGTATATGTGATTGGGATCACACTGTGTCTAGTTTGATATCTTGCTTTAAGTCAGTGCATTTGTAAAACTTATTTAGAACATTTATTTGTTAATGTCCTGAAGAATCAAAGAGCCTGGCAGGGAGTGATATTGATGTTGCTCCAGCTGGCATATTGTGTGGTAAATTCCCCCTTGAAATACTGGTTAATTCATTTGTTTTGGGAGGAGGACATCACATCATTCAACAACAAAAAAAAGGGAATAGAAAGTCTGACATTTCAGACTTCAGTAGGAAATAACAGAGGAAGGCATGCTGGACAGACAGGCCATTTAAATGCCCATTTCTCTCATCAGTACCCACCACAAAAGCTAGCCTAGCAACATAAGACTTGACTTTTATTTGTGCCCCTAAGGCTCCATGCTAACGTCTCCTCTCATTGAAATGTGACTTCAGCTGCAGTGTTGGTCAGAGTCTGACTCTCACCATGCTGCCCTTGAGACCCTTTTGTGGTCTCTTCCAATTTTCTCCATCCTGGGAGTTCCATGTTCCCATCTAAATAAGTTAGGCTTGGCTCCTTATCCCAGGACTCACCTGTAACAAAATGCACTCCTTCCTGTGTGATATCCATACCATTTATTGACCCAGACAAGGAACCTTCCAACTCTCTGATTACTGTCCCATCAAATACTTCCCAGTAAGCGATCTGGAATTCAGGAAAGAGTCAGGCAGGATTCAGCTTTGTGGAATCATCCATGCACATGCTAACAAAAGATGGTTATACTTTATATAGAAGGTAGCAAAAATACACCATGGGATGATACTGGCTGAAATTATAAATAGGCTACAGCAGGGGGTGGAGAAAGCATTTTAATATTTTTAGTATTGGTTTTCAAATTTGCATTCTATTTAAGGAGATGTTGATGTGCCGATAAACCTGGATTATGACAGAAAGGGTTTTTGATAAGACTAAGCAGATTGAATCTGAAGCAAGCAGCAAAAGAAAGAACAGCCTCTGCATCCACAGTGAAGCTTCGGGCGTGGCAGGAGGGAAAGCATGCCCTTCCTTCCCATCGGGGAATGAGCACTCCCCAGAGTGGGCCTGACATGACAGTCATCTTCCCACTGTGACTGGACCCTCCCTCTTCCTCACCCCACCCTTATCCCTAACTTTCTTTTCTGCCTCAAAGCACTAAAATATTCCACAGGATGTGGTTTAAAGATAAATTGTTAACCTTAATCTCTTCCTGGGGAAAGAAACCACCTTAGAGACAGGGGTGAAACAGGTGCTCAAGGGATGGTGATATTTTTCTGAATATACAGACTTTGTACTTTGAACTTTATGAATATACAGTCTATTCAAAAACAACATTTTCTTCTTCTTCTTCTTCTTTTTTTTTTTTTTTTTTTTTTGCAGAGACTTGTGATGTTGCCCAGGCCAATCTCCACCTCCCAGCCTCAAGTAATCCTACTGTCTTCGCCTCCCAAAGCACTTAGATTACAGGTGTGAGCTACCATGCCCAGCCACAATCTTCTTCTAAATAAAGATTGTTTGACCGGGATCTAAGCATGTGAACTTGGGTATACTTTTCACCCATTTCTCTTTGTTTTACGTTGATGGAAACTTGCTATATTCCAGTCACTGTGCCAGGAATCTGTTTTCCTCTGTATCTAGCTAGAAATTGTGTATGCTGTTTTTCTTAACCTTTTTCTTTTGCTTTATAATTTCTATTGATGCTTAATTTTGTTAATACAAAGTTTTGGGGTTTTTTTTGAGAAACAAGGTCTCACTCTGTTGCCCAGGCTGAAGTGCAGTGGCTGGGACTACAGGCAAACACCATCTTGTCTGGGTAATTTTTCTTTCTTTCTTTCTTTTTCTTTCTTTCTTTCTTTCTTTCTTTCTTTCTTTCTTTCTTTCTTTCTTTCCTTCCTTCCTTCCTTCCTTCCTTCCTTCCTTCCTTCTTTCTTTTTTTTGTAGAGACAAGATCTCATAATGTTGCCCAGCTAGTTTTGACCTCCTGGCCTCAAGCAATCCTCCTGCCTTGGCCTCCCAAAGCACTGGGACTACAGGCATGAAGCCTGAAGTTAGGATTACAGGTCCCTGGTCAAAAAGCTCTACTTTCATAATAAAAGCATGAAGAAGTACAAAAGCATATCAGAACCCATGTTCTTCAGGAGTCACACCCATAGAAGTAGTTGGGACATGACTGCTTGCCTTCTCAGCCAAAGAAGTCAAAGTGACACTCTATGAGTAGCCCTATAAGGGACTCTGTCTTTTCTGAGTGTCTTCTGCCAGGACAGGAATGCCCTTCCATGAGATCTAGAAATGGCTAGAACTTTCTGTCATTCAGGCCTCAGCTCAGATGTCACTTCTTTAAGGAGGACTTTACCAACCATCCTAGCCAATGGAGCTTCCCTCCACCCAGCCAGGATCACATAATCACTTGTATTTCCGCGTTTAGTCCTTTCACCATCTCATATCTTGTTCACTTGTTAATCAGCGTTCATTCATGTATTTGTTCACATGTGTATTAGTCATATGATTCCATTCCCTCCCACCCAAAATAAGTAAGGTAAATAAGCTTCATGAGAGCAGGAGCCTCTTGCTTGCTCCAAGGGAAGATGTTCCACCAAACAGAAGAACCAATCTTCACCTGATCATATAGACTCCTCAGCTATAGAGAGTTTTACTATATTAATGAAGTAGAGTGATAAGAGATGAGGTGTTCATATTGTCTTTCTGTTTGAATGTAGTCACAGTGATAACCGATCTGGGCACAGCAATTCCACTCCAGCCTCAGAAATTTCCTAGCAATAAAAAACCAGTGTTGACCGAGCTCAGTGGCTCAACCTGTAATCCCAGCACTTTGTGAGGCCGAGGCGAATGGATTACATGATCCCGTGGGTTCAAGACCAGCCCAGGCAACTTGGTGAGACCTTGTCTCTACAGTAAATTTTAAAAATTAGCCAGGCATAGTAGCACACACCTGTAGTTCCAGCTATTTGGAAAGCTGAGGCAGAAGGATCGCCAGAGCCCAGCAGGTCAAGCCCAGCGTGTCAATGATGGGAAGCCCAGCGTGTCAATGATGGGGTGGCCATGAATGTGCCACTGTGCTCCAGCCTGGGTGATAGAGTGAGACTCCCACTCAAAAAAAAAAAAAAAAGCAGCCAGGCTCGGTGGCTCAGCCTGTAATCCCGCGCCTTGGGAGGCTGAGGTGAGTAGATTGCATGAGCCCGCGGATTCGAGACCCACCTGGGCAACTTGATGAGCCCTCATCTCTACAATAAATCAAAAAATTAGCCGTGTGTGGTAGCGCGCGCCTGTAGTTCCAGCTACTTGGAAAGCTGAGGTGAAAGGATCGCTGGAGCCCAGCAGGTCAAGGCTGCGGTGGCCGGGAGTGGCCACTGCACTCCAGTCTGGGCCACAGAGTGAGACTCCAACTCAAAAAAAAAAAAAAAAGCAGTGTCTATTAAATACCTACTATGTGC